TTGAAACATGACATGAACGGCACGGCTCTCGCACGGCTTAACGCACATAACACGCAAAAGTCCTCACAACTCTCTCTCACTCTTGGCAATAGTACTAAGGCGTGAAGAAAGAAATAGAAAATTTCTCCAAGTAAGCTCCTTTAAGCACGGCCGAAATGAAATGGTGAGGGAGAATGAAATGGTCAAGGCAAGGGACACTTGCTACACATGCACCAAGGGCTTAGGCCACATGTCACACCATGCAAGACCTTCTTGGCTCTACTAGGTCACGTGAACTTGCTACATGGAGGAGAAGGCTAGCGGACGAAAATTTTTGTGTTTTTTTATTAAAAATTTGTTTTTTTTATATATATTTTATTTGGTGTTTGTAAAACATTATTTCACTATTTTTATATGAGGACATCATTATGTTAATTCTAAATAAAAAAAATCACATATGAGTTCATTTTTTCTATATTTTACTTCATTTATGCAACGATATGTTTAATAAATAAATTATTTTAATTTACAAACTTACTCCGCGAAAATCATTCGACACCACGTGCATCGCACGTGCACTTTACTAGTTTTATTAAACGTGCTTCAACCTACGTTAATTTTTTTTTTCATTTTTAATAATAGGTTAATAGTAAAAGTGGACCTAAATTTGTTATTATCATTTATAGATAGACATTTTAAAATGTTTTGATTTCTCATTAATATAAAAGTAAATTTCTTTTTACATGTACATGATATGTTGAATTACGGTGAATTATCTATAAAGTAAGTTAAAAAATAATTTATATTTAAAGTCTTCTTAAAAATATGAAGATACTAGACAATAATATAGTACTTATTTAAATAAAAGAATGGTTCACAAATAAAGAAATTGTAAGTATATGTATAGAAAATAATAGTTAATAAATATGATTACATTATAAATTATAAAACCAGACAAGTAAGAAATAATATAATCAAGTGTCAAAATATGATCTAAATTACATGATAAATTCAAACAAACTGTAATAAAATGTGTTGATAATAAAATAATTAGAGAATTTTCTTATACCCCAACTATATATATTTGCGCATTTAGTACATGATGTTCCAATTAAATCAATTTAGTTACTCAATTTTTCGTTCATCAATAAATTTTGGTCCACGTCGTTAAATTTCATAAAAAAATAAATAAATAAATAACGATTTTAAAAAGAAATTCGTTAAATTCATAGAAAACTATATAAAGAAACAAAAAAAAAAAACTATATAAAAAAAAATCGTTAATACTATGTCAATTTGTTCTATTAATAAAAAAAACTAAAGAATATATATATATATATTGGAATCTACTTTTAGGCTTTTAATTTTGAACTTTACATTGTTGCTTCTCGAGTTACAAATAAAAAGACACAAGATACTGATATATAATGAAAAATAAAATATACAGATATAAACATTGTATATAGTAGTCTATTTTAATTGCATATAAAAATTATTTATTCTATTTATGTTTCCTTATTTAATTTATTTTTAATAGTTCCGTGCATTTGCACGGGCCACGATACTAGTTCTCCTAGATTAGCCTGACCCTCATGGCTAGTTCTGTAATTACCCTACGGCTCCATACTCAACCGAAAAAAGATAGCAATAGGCCAACATCAGAACAATATTCTTACAGGGCAACATTTTCAAGCAACCTAATGCACATAGTGAGCATTGGGATGCAACTTCAAGCACTACACTAAATGAGTTGGAACGATGGTTTTCTCCATCACATACTACATTTTAGAACAAATCGATTGAGAAGAGGGCTCGGCTCATCTGAATCTACGAGGCATCAACAAATTTACATTGTCTGATTCCCTTTCCCTATCAAACAATATACATGAGAAGGCGGAAAGATTTTTTTTTTTTTTTTTCTTTCGGAAGTAGGCATATGATGCACCTACAGAAGGTCAAGTTTAGCAATCTAAGTGGCGAGAACCTACATGCAAAGTCAGCTACAACAAAGGCAACCGGGCAGATGACCGAGTAAAATGATGAATGAAGAAGCAGTTGGGTATTTTCTCTATGAGATGGTGGGGTTGGGGTTGGAGTCGAAGAACTTAGCGACAGCCTGATAGAGGCTTTTCTCTTGGAAAGGTTTGGATACGTACCCATCCATGCCATACTTAAGGCACTCGTCCAGAGTGGCGTGTATGACATCAGCAGTCATTGCCAGAATAGGCATATGCCAATCTTGATTGCTCTTATTATTGTGCATCTTTGCTTTGCTCTCCATCTCCCTAATGAGACGAGTTGCCTCAAACCTGGAGGAAATAAAAAAGGCGATCCAAATCAAGTCATGAAAGAATGAACAATATTTTCTTTCGAAATATGAATATGACAGTAAGCAAACATACATACCCGTCCATCTCGGGCATCTGAATATCCATGAAGCATGCATCAAAATCGTGTGGTATCTGGAGGCAGGCGAGGGCCTCATGCCCACTCCCAACACATCTCACCTCAGCCCCAAACTTGTTGAGAGCCCCAGCTGCCACTCTTCGGTTCACCACATTGTCATCCACCACCAGTATTTTCTTGCCCCACAGCAGACCCTTGGGCTTGGCTATGGCTCCACTTCTGGGGGATGAGTTTTGGATTTTACGGCCTATCCCGAGTACCTGCTGCAGACACGCGGCCACCATGCTTGACCGCAGGGGTTTCATAATCACCGTGTCAGCAAACCCAGCAGCCTTAGCCCGGTTAGACTCAGTAGGCGTGATGTTGGTCGCGAGGAGGATAATTTTCGGCAGTTTGTACTTGCACCCATTTTGTCTTGATGAAAGCTGCATGGGCCCGTCTTCTTCCTCGGAGGAAATCCATGCGTCCTTTTCTATTATAAACATGTCCGGCACCTTCTCATCGCTATTGTCAATAAAACAAATATGTGAAATAAAATCAGAATACTAGATAAGCATGTCCCATAGCCTCTCCGGTACAAAATTCAAAACAGAAATGCATGAGAAAAATAAGTAGATTTATCACCATCAACTCATTAAATACATAGATTTGTTTTCTGGAGCTCAGCATATGTCTAAAATACAACTTGAGAGGAAGGGTGTCCTGTAAGGACTCAATTCATGGCCCACTTCTGTCTCAACTTTAAAGTCAAAAAAAAA